GAGAACAAAATAAAAAAAAAAAAAAACGACGAACCTTGGAAGCCTCGCGACCGATGTAAAACGACATTTTCTATGTATGCGATGCAAACAACAGCGCCATATCACACCACAAACAAACTGCTTGCACAAAAAACCACCTTTCAAAACCACAGAGAGAGTCCTTTTTTTTCCTCTAAATTCAATCAAGAAAAATTCACCCCTTTTGACAAACAATTCCACTCAAGATCTAAAAAATGGGGGTAAAAAAATAGCAAATCAAACAGATACCACCAGTTGCAATAATCGGCGATACCCAGAAGATAACGATCGATTTTTAGCAACAGGCAGCGCCTTTTTAAATAAATTTCAAACGATTGAACAAGAAATGATGAAGGGCATCTCTGTTTATGTTTTAATATATTTTTCTCCTTTTCTTTGTCCTGTTCTTCTCTCTACCTCTCTCCCTCTCTCACACACACTAAATTTATGCGAGTTTTTTTTGCTCCAATTTGTCTCCTGCGTCTGCTAAAAACGCGAGTTGAACACGGAGAGTCAGTTGAGAAAGGGAATGGAAAAAAGTAACCAAGAAAAATGATTTAAGGGACAAATATTGATTTATTAATTATTATGCAAAAAAATCAAATTTGTAAATAATTTCTTTTTTCTCTTTCTAGAACAAAGAACAAATAGAAATTTATATTGGTATTTTTCTGATTAAATAATTAATTAATCACAGATAATGACGTGGATGTAAAATTGGTCAATGCGCTGCCCATGGGGTCCATTGGATAAATGTGACTCACATATATTTATAAAAAAACCTACTAATCGGGTCAGTCATTATTTTATTTTAATGCATTACATATATATTATTATAAAATGTTAAATATTTATTTTAGTTGGTTTTTGAGTTATATCATTTCAATTTTGAAAAATGTGTCTATATGATAGAAAAATATCTACAAGTAGATTTGCCTAACAACATTCTCACCATTATATTTGTTCATCAGCAGTTTCAATATTTAAAAAAAAAAAATCATATTGTTAGCATGTTTAAAGGTTGAATAATCATATTTTTCAGTTACGTATATATTTTAAAACCGAAATATCACACTCAAAAAGATATTATAAACTAAAATATGATACTTATAATTATGTTTTAAAATTATAGTGTAAGTATGAAAAATTGAAATGTTGGTTTATGAAAAATCCAGAGTGTATATTAGATTGATTAAAAAATGATATCCTAATTTATTCACATATTTAAGAATAAGTGTTAACATTTCAAAAGAATTAGCTCATGTGTGAGCAATGGGAATAAATCATAACTATGAGATTATTTATTATTGAATTAGATTATGTGCATATTTAATGACATTATTTCGAATTTGTTATTAATGTTCCAAAAATATCATTGTAGCAACTAAGCATGCTGATAAATCCATTCATTACAGTTTCATAATCATTTCAATTAAAGGATTTTAATTAGTTTATAAGTTGCAGCATTCAGCTCTGTTACACAGCATGTGTCTAATTTTAACCTGGCATCAATGGCACTCTTTTTATGTTTTCACTTGTAATAATTACTCCATTTAATTACAACTTTAATTTGCAATATCCACCTACAATAATACTGTTGATTGAGTATATAATAGCCATATCAAATCAGTTGGTAGAAAAAGGTTTCAATAAATAATTGGTTCATTGCTAATTTTATAAAATATTTTTAAGGGCAATGTTTTTATTTTTAAAAGACATCAAATTGGAAAAATTATCACTTATATCCATGGGACCTAATGCAAATCAAATGTTTCAAATTAGGAGTGTTTTTAGAACCAAGCCAAATAATGTTTTTCTTTTTAATAAATAAGTTGAGAATAAATAATAAGCTCTACTTGAGTTCAACTCGTTAAAAAATTTTAAATATTTAAATAAACTATTTGCATACACGGAATATTCTAAATATCTAAATAAACTATTTGGATACATGAAATATTTGTTGGCGAACAAGTCCAACTCGTTTATTTATTTAAAAAATAATAATTTATTTGCGGACAATCTCACATCAAATTGCCCAATAACCAAGTTCGATTTATAGTTTGGGTTCGAATTTTTTGAATAAACAAACGAGCTAATAAACTTTCATGAGCTGAATCAAATTATATTTCCGAATACATAATTTAAACTACGTATTAATATCACTTTATTATTAAAAATAAATAAAAAAGGGTTTTCCGGGTCCTCGAATCAGAGCCAGAGCGACAAAACATGGCATGACGCAACTCAAAACTCCATATAATGGCCAACCAGCTCGGTCCACGTGCCATCATTAACTTTCCAAGTAATTAATCATATATTCTACTTAATGTAATATAAATACTAGTAGTAATTATTCAACAATCAAATAAATAACTACATATTTGGCATGTAAGTCCTCATGCATAATCTTGAGCAACAATTGTCAATTATTCGTAAAAAAACATATATAGTCAAATTTTTAATTACAAAACACAAAACTTTTTTTTTTTTATGATCGAATATCAGCTTTTAAACCATAGCCGCTAACAAAATTCGTTCCCAAGGTACTCATGTGGTACTAATTAACAATAATAAATAATGAAACAAAATTATTTACGTTAAATCAGTGATTCGTGCTAGAAGAATATTTACAATTGTATGATGCACAATGGATGACATAAATTTTAATTTGAAGTAATGCTAAGTTCTTTTATCTAATTTGTCACATCGTTTTTAAAATTAATAAAATATTTCATGCACCAACTCATAAGTTTATATCAATTATTGTGTCCGAAAATTATGTTAATCAACATTTTTTTAATATATGAAGAATATACTCGAATTTCTGACCCGACCCGTCAAAGCTATTATCCGGAATTGTGAAAGAAGCTTACAAGGTCCGAATTGGCAGCGTGACCCTACCCAGCAATAGTCAATTGACCATTCCTCATTTTCATACCAAAAAACTCTTCTTTTAGGAGAAGCAAAATACTCTTCTAGAAGTTCTTCTAACTCTAAGGCCCTTAAAGAGGATAATCTTGACTTTTGGATCTTTTGATATTAAATAAATAAATTTAAATCGAGCAGAATTGAAATTACTAGTGTATTGTTCCGTGTAACATCTCTAAATATTATCATGTTTATAATCAACACAATGTTCACACATGAAAATCCATTTTCCCTTTTCAAGAAAACATGGCCACACATTGATTCCAATTTTGCGTGTTCGTGACTTATATATATACAATTAAGTATGGAAAAATAAAATTATTCTCGCGGACTTATTTTTATATTAGTTTTTTTTCATATGGACTTAAATTATTTTTATAATTGCGTTAACTAATATCATCAAGCAACCCACAAAAGCATGGAGTATATAATCAACTAATCATTCTTTTTTCTTCTTTTTAAAAAAATAATAATAATATAATTTGCTCGCACGCACTCACGCACGCACCCAAAAGAAAGAAAAGTTGTGATTGTATATAGTCTTGCGTTTTGACTTTTCTACATTTGGTTGGCTAATGGCAATTTTGTTTCAATTTTGGTTCCAATTTGTATTTGTAGTTTTTTACCACGTACTTTACGTACTCAACGGTCAACGCTTGATCGTGTCTTGTAGTAGGTTACCACGAAAGTTTGTTCCTTTTGTTTGACTTAGAAAAATAATTATTCATGTGAAAATATTTAAATATGTTATCCCAAATTACAGTCATTTTAATCCGTGATTCATATTACATTGCACCACTTTCCACTTCTTTGTGAATAATTAAGCAAATGAGCTCGAACTCGATTCGTTAAAGTTTAAAAAATATAAGTTTTTATGTAATTTTTATATCTCGATTCATTAAGACTTGAATTATACTTGTTAACGTTTGCTAAATAAATCGATCTCGAACCCCGAGTATTAAGAAGCGAGCTCGATAAATGCTCGAGCCCAAACTTAAGCATTCGAAGTTCAGGCTTGCTTGTTCACACCTCTAAGCCCACCACAGTATACTAATGAAGCCCTGTTCTTGTACTTCCGACAAATAGGCCCACTTTCCACATGAGCCAACGGCCCAAGCCCAAAATGATGAGCGCTGTCTAATCAAATGGTCAAAGTTCTATAATGTAGTTTGCCCCCAATGGGTGGAAGTTTGATGTTTTACTACTCTATTGATAATAAAATTATAGTTATAGATGAATCTGTCTCTATTTTCTATCTTACATGGCAATATATAGGCAGGCTTTCGAACTAAAATTTGAATATAAAAATCAACACTGACATTTCATAATGCAAATATACATTTTCGCAGAAAGAAGAATGTATAATAGATCGATATATTTGTGTTTGAAATATATTTTTCTACTATTAATTAGTTGAAAACTTGAAAGGCTAAGAATAACCATCATATTGTCAATCACTATTAGCTTCAGATAATACTCATTGCACTAATATCTACTTCACTTTACATAGCTAAAAACCCACCAGCAGCAAAAAAATATTACAGAGAGATCACATAACTATTCTGCTCTGCAGATCAAATATCTTCACAACACTAAAAAACAGGTGCTTTTGGAAAAGGAAAAAAAAAAATCAGTACTCATCATTTTCCGTTTCTTGCCAACAACATAAGTCTCTTCGAGATATAGATGCGGCCTTCAGTAATTCGAAATATCATAAGCCTTTAGTACTTATTTAAATCCTTCCTGCAGGAGATAATGGCGGGCATGTAACAGTTGTTGTTTTCCTTTTGTCAGCTTCGGCTAATAATGCCTCTGCTAAATATTGAGAATCCGAGCTTTTCGCATCCGTGAGTTCAGCGAATTTCAAACAAGTTACGTGCGCCACACAAGTGGCGAATGCCTCCAGCAAAGAAATCGATGAATCGAGCTCGATTGAATAATACCCATTGCTAAATGGCTTCATTGTTAAAACAGGCTTGCTCCCTTTTTCTCCACCCTGTGAAAAAAAGAAAAAGAAAACATATATTAAGTGCTTTTATAACTAAAAAATATAGTTTTTATTTTCATTTTTGCTTTCTGGAAGTATTTAATCTAATACCTCTGAGTAAAGATTGATGTAATCGATACTGGAGCTCGGCTCAAACGGTTGAAGACAATGGCTACTTGTTTTTTCACAGTCAACGAGCACACGAAGCTTGCAGCCAACATCCCATCCTCCACAATCACACGACCCTCCGAATCTCCACCTGCTAATCAACGACGAGGGTAAAAAACCTTCATTCGGCAAGCCATGAACTCCACCCGGAAGAATTACAACAGTGCCACTATTATCGTTCGTAATTTTTTCCTGGCTCTCCATTTTTTTACCGGTTTTCCCAACAATAACAGCAGCAAGTTCCTTTTTAGGATCAACACAGTAAAGTACGCATTCCTTCGAATTGCATTCGCTCGAGCTCGAAATTTTCATCTGCCCAACAATGTTATATCCAAGATTGCAGCTTTTTTCATTACTCTTCGAGCCGTGATTAATCCAGCTCATGCCCTTTTTCGTCTTAACCTCGTGAACTGAATAAAACACGTACATCATGCAAGAATCGGTTTTCCCATATACCGGCAGCCTCTTCACTGTAGCAGCTAACATCTCATTGCTACTGTTGACCACTAGCTTAAAGAAAGGAAGCCCATTTTTCAAAGTTATCTGCAGAAGAGCTAATAAAGTAGTAGTGGGCCTCTCGGGCTTTCGATCTTGAGATGGGCCGGGCTCGGCTGGGTGGGCCCCCCCTTTGTGCTTCAGCAGTGGGTCCAGCAATCTTCTCAACGGGCTGGACCTTGCTCGGCTGCAGTCACTTTTGAGGTTATTATTATTATTATCTGGGCCAGAGGATGTTTTGGGCCTAACTGGGCCTGATTTGATGCTCGTGTATTGTGAACTCAAATGGGGTACTTCCGAGTTATCCTTGAAGCTAAGACTTTTGCTCATTCTTCCCAAGTGGAAGCTAAAACGACGGGTGGGTGAGGTGGGACTTTCTTTTGGAGTGAGAGTTTTAGCAATTTCGGCTTGTTGATATTTATCCGAAGATGACTCGAGAAAAGATGATGATGATGCGCTACTACCATTTTTTTCTTCATGTGCCGATGAACGTTTACTTTCTGATCCACTCAGGTTAACTTCCACATCGACTGCTTTTGAGGTCACTGGATTATTCATTTCACCAGATTTCAGCTCTTGAGGATAAAAAAAATCAGATAATCGCGTACCCACCACTTCTGCTAATTGCCCATCATCAAGAGATGTCTTAGATCCATCTCTTTCGAAATGATTCGGTTTTAATTTTATTTCACCAGACCTCGTCACCTTCCTTTTCTCCCGAGCATAATAACTATTGTTTCGCAAAGTTTCTTCTTTTGGAAAAATCTCCTTCTTTGGATACACATTTGTCTCCCCATAAGACTTTGCTCTCTGATGAAAACGGTCAGCTTGATGTTCTTGATTGAACGTTTCTTTTCCTTTATTAGACCGAATTAGCTCAGCATATTTTTCACCCTTGTGATGATAACCCACATTTTTTTCTTCCTTGGGCGAACCAAATCGAGAGCCGTGTGAGAAAGATGGCTGCTTTATCGAGTCTTGGCCTATCCGAATATTGCTGCTGCTCGATGATGATGCTGATGATGATGCCTTTTGAGGAAATTTTCCAGTGGGCATTCGCTCGTTATACTTCCACTTCTCCAGACGATTCCAATCGAGCACACCGAAATTAAGCGCTTTTTCTTGAACGTTACTACTTCCCTTCTCCATGTGCTGAAGAAAAGCAGGTAAATTCGACATGTACTTGACGAGCTCGTTATCATCATCATAATTATCATTATCACCATCAAGTGATCTATTAATCGCGAGCCGAGGCTTCTGGACACTTTGTGAGTGTTTGTGTGGGCCCACTCTCTCGGTTTTCATACTTGGTTTCGATTCGCATTTTGTGTCGAGATACGGCTGGCCGAACGAATGTCCAACCCTTCGCTTTTCTTGAGTTTTTGTGTAATCGGCAATCAAGATTTGTTGTAATGTTGAGCTCCGTTCCATGCTCGGTTGCATTGTATTACATCTTATGATTGTACTCGTTTTAGCACTCGGAAAGACTGTAAAAGGTCGTAGTTAGAGAATGAGACTTGCAGTTATAGATGCCTCTTGCTGAAAATATAAATCACAAAGATAGATGCAAATCAGTAAAAGTATTCACATACTCTTTCAGTACAATGTCATAGATTTTATCAATGATCAGTCACAGGTAATTTTACAAGCTCTTCTTCTTTCAGTAAACAGAGCAATAAAGCAGAAGTCTGAAAATACAAGAATTTGACATTGGTATAAACAAATTTAATTGAAATTCTTAAGAGAGAGAGACAGAGAGAGAGAGAGAAAATAAGGGAGAGAAAGCAGATGCAAAGTGAAAAGTTAAAGACAGAATATGACAAGATACTGGTTTTGATCCCTAATGCCTAAAATCTTGCCAAGGTCATCAAGAGCTTAGTAGGTTACAGAATAAAGCCATTGATATCTAAAATCAAGGTTGCCAATTAAAAATAATAATAAGAGATTCTATACGAGATGAGCAGTTAATATAATCCCTTCTCTAAATAGAAAAGTATACACCCAAGTGCCAAGAATATGCGAAAACCTTAAGTTTCCAAAAACGCCACAGAGAGAAAAGGAAAAACAGCTGGCTCAAGCCATAAAACCTCCAATTTGTCAGATCTGAGAAATGGGTTCCACTCCAATTTAAGGTAATTACTAATTACCACTACATAAGTGCTAATTAACAAAATTTTACCCAAAGAAAACGGTACAAAAAAGGAAAAAGAATTCATTCACACATACAATCTTGGGGAGCTGTACAAAGAACAAAAACCTATTCGAGCTCTGTCACTGCATCCTCAGAACTTCGATATTTTTAAGACCCCAATTCACAAAGTATTTTTTTTCTTCCAAGACTAAGACATGAAAAAATCCCAAATGTGGGTTCTTTACAGCAGCTTAAATGGACAAGAATCCACATCCCGGCCAAGAAAATTAACAGATCCAATCATTTCAAAGCTCGAGAGCAAAAACAAAGATGCCCCTAGATTTGCACAAAACGAGGTAGAACAATTATTAAGCATCGAAAAAAAAATTCATCTTGACACGCACAAACAAAACTCAAATAGCTCAACAATCAGCTGCAAAAAGGAACCTGTTGAAGATGATTTTCATACAAAACTCACAGAAAACGAAAAAGAAAAATTAACTGCAAAACAAAGTAAGATATAAATTTAACTTACACTGAACGCAAAGAAAAGAATTGCAGGTGAGCAGTTGAGTCAGAAAACAATAAAAAAAGCAACATCAATCTTCTTGGGATTCAAGAAAACTCGGTCCTCGAAGCCGGAGAAGCTAAAGGGCTCCTCTGTGCAGATAAAAAGTATGTATGTAGACACAAACGCACAAGCTGTACGTATAGAGAGATAGAGATGAAATAACAAGACCCCCGCGAAGAAATTGTATTCACACTGCACTGAGAGTGACTGTACGGGAGCTAATTAGATGAATGATATAGAGAGAGAGTAGGCGTTTCGCTGTCTAAGAGAATCGGACGGTTGAAAGTCGAGATGGGAGTAGATCCGACGGCCAGGATCGTGTGAAGAAGGCGCCAAACGGGTCACAAGAGATGGTATATAATACGTGTGGGCCCGGGTCGGGTCCCCCTCACACGCAACGTTTGGTCCTTTTTTATTCTTTGCTCTCCAATGTGAAATGGGCCAACCCGAAATTATGATCCAGTGGGCCCCGTTGATTGGTAGTCCGCTCGTCCTAGGGTTCGAGCAAGGGGTGGCCTTTTTGTGCGGGGGTATGTCTTATTAAATTGGTAGAGTATTTATTTTATTTTATTTTATTTATCTATTTATTCAGAGTGAACAAACATAATTTTATGATACTAATTTCTTGGCATTATTAAGGAGGGTGTATTCAATTGGATTTCAAGTGACATTTTAAGACTTTTTAAGATTTGAAATTTGTTAAGATTTCCAGATTTTGGAGAAATTCCGTGAAATCCTATGTCTGGAGGTAGGATTTGAGGTAGGATTTTTTTTGTTTAGAAATCCCACTAAATCTTAAAAAGCCTTAACAAATCCTAGTGTCAAATAAATTAAATACCTCGGAATTTTGTAAGACCTTTTAAAATCCCAATTGAATACTCCATGATTTTTGAAAGTATTAACAAATCTAAATTGAATACAACAGGATTTCTAAAGTCTCAAAAAGTCCTTAGAAATCTTAATTAAATACACCCCTAAAATTTTCGGTGCGCCAGATTGATGAGCTCATTTAGTGATTTAAGTTGTTTTGACTTATTCAAACTCGAAAATAGCAATTTTTGTAATTTTTTTATAATTCAACTCATTGAGATTCTTATTCGATTCGTTAACATTAATAAATAGGTGGAGTTCGAACTTGTTAATCTGATCAGTTCAATTGCAGCTTGTTAATCAACTCAGGTTAATAAAGACACGGGTCTAAGCTCGAGCTCGACTGGACTCGTTTGTACCTCTATCATTAGAGGTTATTGATAAAGTTTTTCATAAATATAAAAATAATTGAAGAGAAAGTTTTGTTTTTTCCATAAAGGGAAAAATTGCACCTTTACAATCACATGAAAAAATATCATGTTGTATTCTTGTTTGATCTCTTGGTCCTAGGGGTTGTTGGCAATATTATCATGGCTTAAATGGAAATTTGTAGATGTGACCTTTTGGACCTTTTTAATTGCGTTTTGAATTAAAATTTGTTCATTCCTCCGAATTTAGCATGGGCCACTCTACACGTTCTTTCATGTGCAGCCAAATGTTAGAAATATTTGATAATTGTTTCATATATAATCATTGTAAATTAACATCAAATATCGAGCGTGAAAGTATTATACTCCACGCTCGATGGAGATATAATAAAGATTTAACATTGTGAAAATTCTTATTTATAAATGTGACCTTGAAATTTCACACTTATGATGTAAATATAATCCAACACCAACCCTCAATACTGATACATTCACACTAGTGCACAAAATAAAATGACATGCATACAATCCAAAGCCCAAAGAAAAAATAATTCTAAAAAAAAGGAAGGAGAAATCTTGACAATTTTTGTCCGCAATTACATATGTTAAGCGAAACGAGCCATTCTTAAGTCCGACTCCATTTATTAATGTAGGTTTGTTTATCAAGCTCGTTCAATAAATAAGTCGGGCTTGGCTCGATCTTATTAAGGCTCTAAATAATAAATTTTATATAATTCTCTATAATTTTACGCGTTAATATTTATAAATAATTGAAACTCAAGCTCAAATAAGTTAACTAGTTGATTTACATCGCTATCCACTGGTCAATAATTGAAGCACGCTAGTTTTGATGAAAAATAATGCTCTTTTATTTGCTTTGTTCATCTTTTTGAAATGATTTTTCTACACATACATTCTAATCTTGCACGCTCGTGCCTCGAAAACAACTTTATCTTTACAAACAATTAAAGCTAGCTTGTTAGCAGATCTCCCTTCATACTTTGGCCAAAGCAATTGGAATAAAACTTTAAGGAATCATTGAAAAAAAAAAAGGTGAAATATTAGCAAAAAATAAAAACTCTGCAATTTTTTCCTATTGATGGGTTGTCACCAGAGCATGATTAAATAAACTGCATTTCTACGTACTTTATAAGATAATATCAAGCGAAAAAAAATATAAAATCCTTCTAGCCTTAGAATGTATATATGTCTAACTTGGCAAACGGGCTAACTATTCTAGCTGATTGTTGATAAAATAAAGATCACTGATAATGAATACTCGAAACACTAATGTTGATGTTAGAGAGATCTGACGATATTAGACAATTATATATATTTTTTCACCAGATATGTATATCTATCTATATATATTAGTGAGTATCCTGTGTGATGGCGGACTTATTTCTTAAAACCTTTGTTAATAAATGATACTAGTACAACACCCGTGTGTTACACGGGTGCTTGTTAAAAAATTATTCTTAAATTTTAAAATTAATAAGAAAATTATTTGAATTTTATTTACTTATTTTACAAAAAAATATACATTATTATGATTTAGAATGACACTTGTTATTTGTGTGACTTACATGTGTTATATTATAGTAATTTTTATAACTTATATCATATAACTACTTAAAATATAAATATTAATTGATAAATAATTTTATTTTTATAATAATTATAAAAAAATAATTTTATTATTGTTATAAAGGTAAATATAATTATAAAAAATAATTTTATTATTGTTATAAAGGTAAATATATATTATTTTTTATAATTACAATATGGATGTTAAATCGAAGCTCATCAAGAGATGATTAATTTGATATATTATATATGTAAGATTAATAAAAAATAAGAAAATAAATTAACTTTTAAAATACATTTACAATTTAATGTTTATAATAAGAAATGATATTAAAATGCAATTACTACATGTAACATGACAATAAATAATCAATTGTTTTTATGGATAATCCGGACTGTGATTTAGATTCTTTCCAAACTGTGATTTGGATTCTTTCCAACTATAATAAGGTGTTGAAGTTAAATAAATATGGACACCCGTGTGATTTTTTGGAAATTTTTGTTTCATCGATTGTATAGTCGGGATTTAAAAAAAACATTCAATTATGAATTGCAATTTAAAATTTAAAACAAAAATTATCTGAAATTTTTTAGCGTAATTAATTTTATATGCTATCAATAGAAACAAAAGAATGACATTTTATACTTTTTTCTTAAAAAATATAAAGAATTCACTCACTTAATGGTTTAGTCGTCTCATTCAAGAATTTGTATCTTTGTAAAAGTCTGAGACAAAATGTTCAAAATTAAATCTTTACATATAACATATGGAAATTTATAATAATGGTATGTTTTAAGTAATTTATCATAAAAGCGTGTGTAATGCATTGATTAGTACATGCTTGTATATAGATATATCCAAAAAAATCCAATCTCAATTTACAATCTAACTCAATTTTAACTTAGTCACACTATTCTTAATATTATCGGTATAATTAAATAAATACCAATCAATTATCTTTACACATTACATCAATTTTAGTTCACTATTCATCGCTCACATAATTTTAACTACTCATCACTCTTCGAGCTATTACGCGGAGGTTCAGGCGCTTCAGATCGGTCTGTAGATTGCTGCCTCGATCTCCTCCCACATTTGAATAGAGTTGGACGCGACCGCTGTCATCACTCTTCTGTCATCAGGACATCAGGGCACGTGGCATATCCAGTACCCTCTCATGCGCATCAGAGCCACTCTCCAGACGATTCGCTTCCGGATCTCGTACATCTTCCGCGAGGAGAACTGGTCAGCTGACTTCCTCGCTGGCATCGGGTCCTCCACCCCCCACAAACGCATTCTTTATCCTGACGACATTCCTATCCGCCTCCGCACCCTTATACGGATGGACCAGAAGGGATACCCCTCATTCAGATTTGTGTNTTAAAAAAAAAAAACTACTCATCACTTTTAATCACATATCTTCTACTTTTATATCAGAACAATTTTAATTATTTTATTTTAATATTATTTTAATACAAACTCAAAATCCTATTAAAGCCTTACCTACTTTTTTCCAATTAACACTGAATTGATTAACTAAAAAAATTAATCAAAACTCAATAAATCTATATGTCTCCCTTGGCCATTCAGTCATGAATGATATGTTATATTCATAGATAGGAAAAAGTTTGATATAATGAAACTTGGGTAGCAAATATCCAGTTTTATCCAAGCATGATTAGTGAATACTTGATAAGAACAATAGATTAAATGTGTTATTAGTATAGTATAAACTCCCATATCTTTTATTTATCTCTTGATTAACCAATTCAATTAATATTTTCTGACACGTGAGATTATCACGGGCTCACTACACTTGACCGAAACCAGGACTTTGATGGAATGATTATTTTAGGCATTTGATAAGATATACATTACGGTGCAAATAAGCTGCAGCCGAAAGCAGGAACATATGAAAAAATTAGATATCCCGCAAATCATGTATGATAAACTAATTACCAATTTTATCCACTTTGGACTTTTGGTTTGCCTTTGTCTGCCAATAACCATGACTCTATATGCCATTATAATATATTTAGACATTGACATAAATTTGACAAAATTTGATTTAAATTTTTACCAACTAAGATACACTTCTCAAATTTTTTTATTGACTTTTTTATGAGGGGTGGGCATATTTCTCACACTTTATTATACAATATTCATTTTTATTATTTATGTAATTATTATTACTTGCATTTGTAATATTAAAATTTAAAATACCTAATGTTTGTTAATTTAGTTTATCTATTAGCGAGTTAAAAAGAATCATTTATAAAAAAAATTTGTCAAACTAATACCACCTTTTAAATTACACTTATATACACACACAAAATATATATATTAAAAAAACTATTGTCCCCATAAATTAACTATCATTTCTAAGATCGAAATTAATTTATTAATTATCAACTAGCTTATCAACTAAATTTACTAAACATAATCGTATGAAGTTCTATCAGAAGGTACTCAAAAGAAGGATTTCTTTGCGGGCCTAAGGCCCAACTTCATCGCCGACTAGAACGGGCAAAACAACATTCTTGAGGTTCCGTATATTTTTATTGAGTCTAGTTGAGTCTTAGAAAATTATACTCGAGCAACATTGAAAAAAAAATGAGCTATTAAAACCAGTGCTCGATTCGACTCTGCGATCGTTTGCAACGAGGTGGAACTTGAGTCATTCTAGTGTTTGTTATAATGCAATTTTCTCATGTCGAAAAACTGGCTCTAACTGGTTCCTTTTATTAACTGACAATGGATTTTTTTGTACTTTAGTTTTCACAAAAGAAAAACACTACTTGTACAATTTCTAGAGAAATTTCAATATCGATAATATTGGAGGATCAATTTGCAAATCAACTTCTTTCACTTTCTTTCATGCAAAACAGTGAAAGTCAACTTTAACGTTTCCATATTGCTTGCCAATTGAGAAATTGGATAACAATATTCCGAACCAAAAAGAAAAAGA